GCCACATTGGCCAGGCTGGTCTCGAACTCCTGACCTCAGGGTATCCACCTGCCTTGGCTTCCCAAGAGGCTACCTAATTGACAGAGAATTTGTAACATACAGCATATCATAATTTTTTCAGTGTATTTGATTATTTGGGCTTGTTAGGAAATGCTGTATGTTTATATTTTAACTTTTACTTAAGTTAAAATATAAAGGAAGTACTATTTCTCGGGATTGTGTGCATTATGAATTTCTCTACATTATATATTTCACGAACATTTTTAATCTTATTGATCATTTGGAAATATTGGACCATCCCGATCATGTAGCTTAACAGCAGTCACTGGAACCCAGTCCAGCATTCTGCTGATATGTTTCTTATAGGTATCATTCACACCCACACATACCCCTACTCCTCACTCACTACCCCGCTTAACATTGCTTTATGTTTCTCTGTAGTACTTAACACCACTGGAAATTCTGTGTACCATATTGACTTAACTGTTTTCTTATGGTCTGTCTCCTCCCACCAGAATATAACTTGTCATGAAAGATGGGACTTTATTGGGTTCAGTGCTGTATTCCCAGCCCGAGAGCAATACCTACTACATTATAGACTCTAATAAATATATCTTGAATGAATGAATGAATGAATGAATGAATGAATACAAGGCTTTCTGCAGTAGAGACCCAACCTTCTCTTCCAGCCTCAACTCCCACTGCTTTCCCATATTTGCCAGGGATTCTTGGCCCCTGAAATCATCTAGTATGTCCTGAACCTTTCATTACTGTGCTTCCGTATGCCCTGCCCCAAGAACACCCTATCCTTATATTTCTGTTGAAATTCTTCTTATGCTTCAAGAACTATCTCAAATATATTCTCTTTCTCCAGCCTTTCTTGGTCTCTTAACCCATCATGATCTCTCTCCTTGGAAGCCCCTGGCATTTTGTACCCTTCCAATAGCACAACACTCTCTTCTTTTGTGCTCTAGTTATATGGTCTTGTCTCCTCTACTAGACTCTAAGCTCCTTAAGAGCCAAAATGGTGTCTGGTTCATCCTTGGTGCCCCTATCACGCCTGCCACAAGATGTCGTGCACTGTAGACTCTCTGTTAATGTGGTTGAGCAGAGCAGCATGTGTAATCCCATTGGCACCGTCCCCAGAAACAGTGACTTACTCTTTCCGTGAATACGTCTTATGAATAGAACAACAAATAGTTTCCTTCTTTTGTCTGTTTTTGTGCACAGGAAAGACAACGACAACTTGAAAGCATGGGGATTTCCCTGGAGATGTCTGGTATCAAGGTGGGGGATGACAAATGCTACTTAGTCAATCTGAATGCAGACCCTGCTCTTAACGAACTTCTGGTTTATTATCTAAAGGTAGGAGAACATATAAATACATAGTTGCAATCAAGATTCATTCCTATATAGTTCCTAGTTGAATCTGGAAGCCTGTCTCTGTGATGTTGCTTTTTGTATCCAGCTTAGCCCTCAATAAAACTAAGATGGATAGTGCCCTCAGATCCCTACTAAGAAGGAAAGACAGCTATTTTGTATCATCTGGGGCTATGCAGTTGGGGCTGATCTCCTGTGAGTCCAGTCTCAGAGGGGCACAAGTGGACAACAGTAGGTATGGAGGTGATGCCTCGCTATATGAGAAGGCTCTAGGTGTGAGATGGTGAGGATTCTGGGGAATATCTGTGTTCTTCCACAAAGCTCCCGAGAAGCTCTAGAGGTTCTTAGTTATGCTTCTGAGTAATTCCAAGGAGATCTCAAGATCAACACAAGCCTAAAGCAGACCCTCGTCCTAGATTAAATAGACAACAGTGTTCTTCTAGTTCTATCCCTTGTAAACCTACATCCTCAGGAAATAACTTTTGGTCCCATAATCACCCTTCAAGTGTAGAGGTGGGATGGGGCCACCCTGTTGCCACTGTGGTTGCAGGATATGCTATGTTGGATAGCTTACTGTAGCAGTTCTCAAATTTTCTGACTTCAGAACCCATTTACACTCTTAAAAACTATCAAGGACTCCAAAGAACTTTCGTGTATCTGGGTTATATCTGTGTTT